GGCGAGGACCAAGTCTATTTCCCAGTCCAGTAGTGGTAGTAATTATGTGATTAATGAAGGACGTGAGATAAGACTAACTACAAATGCCCTCCTACTCCAGGTAGCCAGTAGCAGTTTAGGAATGACCAAGTCTGCACCCAAAGCTACAATGTATCTAATATACACAGGAGACTTGCCGGCAATGAAGCAGGTTGCCAGTGTTTCTGAAGCCTCTGGGGGAGCCTAGAGCAATCACATTTTGGTGCTGATTGCCATTAGAAAACATGGAGCTCAAGGTTTACTGAATGATGACTGCAGTACTCCAACAACCTAGAGATTCAGGGGACCATAGGGGGCATGTGAGGTGCTCTGAGTCTCCTTCACCCTTCTTGGGGCAGCTCTGCTTTCCTTTCACAGCAGTGCATGCTGGGGGCCCTGCAGGGGAGTGCATCTGAAAAAGCACACCATGTGGTCAAGGGCAGGATCTGGGGGAGACACTGCTTTACATCCTAGTTCTCTCACTGAGCAACTCTATAAACATTCAGATTCTCTGACAGAATAGAATGACAGTACTTTTATTAGGACAATGAATGGAATAACATACAAAGTTCTTAGCATTATATTGCACCTGGCTTTTGGTAAGTGGTACCTACAACTGCCATATTCCTAGCACACAGAGATGCCCCCTCACTGCACCATCCAGGAAGAGGAGCAGATATGAAAAGGGGCGGGTACAGAGACTGTAACTGGGTGTGGTTAAACTTCTGCTAAGAAGAGTAAGTCAATCATTTTAGATCCCCAATGCTGGTATTTAAGGGGTCTGCCTTTTTCCATTTTCCTGGTTCCCTTGCTCCCGAGGTTACATCCAATCCTTGCCCTGCTATATGATGAAACATCAAGAGTTCTCTCCTTTGGGGATGGCCCCAGGCAGTACTTTTCGAGGCCACCCACGAACTGAGGGGGACCCAGGCTATCTCGTCCCCAGGGAGAGCGGCGGTCCAGGGAGGAGCACTGCACTGTGGTCAGGGACTAAGTTCCTGGCTTGAAGAGGTGTACGGAAGTCTCAGCGTGTTCTCCCGAGGGAGATTCTGGAGCCTGTGGTGGTAGGGGTGGTTCTCATCAAGAAAGAGATTACAAATTCAGAGATCTGGAGCCCCAATCAAACGGCATTACTAACAAACCATGTACTTCTTCTGCTGAAACCTGTGTTACTGAATGAAACATAGAAAAAACCAAAACAATACAAACGGGGGTTGGTACAAATGCAAATGGAGCTCCAGAAATATTTACTAAATGAACAAATTAATGAGACTTGAACACCTGAAGAAGAAATATGCCTCAGATTTATACACCACAAAAATAAATCTGAATTGAAATCTAAAGTATAAAAAGAGACTTCAGTTATATCACCGTTACAAAGTAAATGTCTCATTAAAAAGTATCTTCTTACTGTTAAAGCCTCAATAATCCTTGACTTGGCTTGGTAGAGGGGACCTTAGGTTCTGTCACTAGTGGTACATGTTGTCTGTTTTTGCTCTTTTTGGGGACCCACCACCCAGCTCCCAAGTAAACACACATGGAGGCTTATTATTAATTATGAATGTCTGGCCTTAGCTTGGCTTGTTGCTAACCAGCTTTCCTGAACTTAAATTATCCTATCTATCTTTTGCCTCTGGGCTTTTCTTGTTCTCATACTTCTGTAAATCTTACTCTTAACTCTGTGGCTAGCCCCTGATGTCTTCCTCCTTCTCTGGATCCTCCTTTCTTGATTTCTCCTTCTATATATTCTCTCTGCCTGCCAGCCCCGTCTATCCTTCCTCCTGCCTAGCTCTTGGCTATTCAGCTCTTTATTAGACCATCAGGTGTTTTAGACAGGCAAAGTGACATGGCTTCACTGAGTTAAACAAATGCAACATAAACAAAAGTAACCCCCCTTAAGACAATATTCTACAACAGGTACATTCTTTCACTCTGAGCTTTAGTTCTCGTTATTATGGGATAATAACAACTCCCCTGATTATTCTCAGAAAACAGGGGAATCTACTCTCCAAACTAAAGTACAACACTCACTTAAGGTCTAACTGTAAAGATACCTAGCCGCTTATCACTGTGTTGGCCAGTACCACCCTTCTCACCAGGAATCTTCTGCCTATGCAAATCTCTGTAGTTCAAGGTCTAGCTCCCCACCCCACCCTTCCAACTAGCTCTTGTTCCTTTCCCTGTTCCTTTCAACTGTCATTTAATCACCGTTCAGGAAGAGAGAGACACACAGTACAGTGTTTAAAGCTCAGGCAGAATTTGCCCTAAGTCCTATCAAAAATGAGGATGATGACGCTGTTACAGATGTGCTGTTACAGATGTGCTGTGAGGAGTAAACGAGACCATTCATACAAAGAGCCTTGCAGACTGCTCTCAAACCTCCACGGTGTGATTGCTGCATACTGCACCTCATTGCTTCCAGAACTGTCTTATCCCCACATCCCTCAAGGGACTTTAGTCCGCAGAGAAGGGTCCCTGTCCTATTCATTTCTGATCCCATTCACATTCCAGAAAGGGGCTCGGCCCACAGTATTTCCCCCACAAGAAACACTTGAGTTCCCCTTCAAACAGTGCTCAAATCTTCACTGTAGTTTCATAGAGCTAGCTTGAGAAAGTCAAAGTCCACAGGGTAAAGTTGCCTCTTATAACCCTTAATCAAATCAAAAACATGTGAGTAATTCCCAAAGCACTTATACAAGCCATCATTCTTGGGCGCTACTTTACCACGATGATATGTTACACTAGCTAGCTGCCTAAAAATATTCCAAAGAAATAGATTTGATGTGGGAAGTTCTGCCAAACTAGGGGCTCTATTCCCCTGAGACACGTATTTGAATTTTATAGATGCAGAGCATTACAGAGAACACACATGTCTGAATACAGAAAGTCCGATGTAAATCATGGTACTGTATGCTAGTACTTTTTTTTACAGGTGTACAGTTCTCAAGTATTTAAGTATCATACTCTCCTAGATCCACACCCTACGAATAGGCTTCTACAAATGAAATAAGCCTGATATAAATCTATGTTTTAAGAAGAGTAACATAAACTGTAACATAGTCAACAACACAACTCCTAATTTCAGATATTATCTGGAGCTATTTCTTCCTCTGAAATCATGCTTCCAAATCATCTGCACTTCTTTTTAATTGACCTGGAGGGTCTTTGAGAACCACAATGGGTACTTACTCAATCTCTGAGCCGTTGTTGTCAAAAGCCTTCTACAAACCACTTTCAAGATGAACTCCACACCTGGTTTTTTAATGATATTCTTTTATCTTCAATTCAGATAAGGAAGAAAGAAGATTTGCCCTGTCCAAGAGCTTGCATTTTACTGAATTCCAAGTACCAGCACCCTGCTATTCTCCATCCTTTCTTTCAGCCTCACAATTCATTACTATCTAACATCACCACTATTTTTCAAGCAACTAATAGGAAGGAGTTTCAAAGAGACCTTTGCTGCACAAGAACTGAATCCAGAACATGATGTTCCACTTACATGAGAAATGTAAAATTTCTACCAGAAGGCAAATTCATTTTCTCAAATGGCTAAATCAAGTGGTCCTTAAGGAACTCCTCTGACCCAGGTTAGAGCTCTGAAGAGTCCGAAATGTGGTCAGTGCTCCCAACAGTCAGTTGGTGCTGGGAGTGATTGGTGCTGGTCTCGGGAATAGTCTCTGCCTGACCAGAAAGAGCTGAGGGCCTGGGATGACCCTTCTGGTACGAACTGCTCACGTTTCCCGCTTTCCCCTTTGTGAGTGTGACTTCTGCCTGGTCCTCTGTACCCTTTGCTCCCTTTCTCTTCCTTAGACCAAAACAGAGAGGATGCACACTACACTCTTGAGCTGTGAAAAGGTTTTCATCTGAAAAACCCACCAATGTGGGTCTCAGCAGCAATCCAGCCACAGGCATCCCCATCCCCGGTCATTGGTTCCGGCCCTTGCTCTCAAGCCCTCTTACCTGACTTTCTCACATATTCTGCTTCTCGGTTAGGCAGTACCTGGCCCTCATTCTACCACCTGGGGTTGTACAGAGTCCAGGATGGGCACAGTTGAAGCTAAATGTCATCATTTACCTGCACTTTGCCTTGTTAAGCACTTTTAGAGGAAATAACCTAGACAGTTTGATTTTTGGCTCAAAGGCTGCAGATAACAACTGTATATGTAAGATTCTTCATGTATGTGCTTTACGCTCATGCTACACCTGGCAAACAGGCTACCCTTTTGGGTACAGGGAACACCACTTGTCAGAAGGGTTAGAGGAGGCTGCATTTGCTGTCTGACCCTGAGGTAGGTAAACCAGGAAGGATGGTGGCAGCTCTCTTGTCTGACCACAAATGTTAGTGAGAAGGACACAGCCAGGAAACAAAAAAGCTGTTCAGTAGTACCTGGCACTATCAGGAGGTGGTTAGGCGGACAATCGCACTTTTATCCTCCTTACGCTTTCTGACTATAGATTTAATTTAATTTTGTCATGGCAGGATTAGCAACCAGGCCATAGAGGTGAAGGGACATTATAATAAGACAGCACATTAATCCTCTATCCCACCCAAGGCAGAAGCAAAACCAAACAAATAGCAGCTTCCTGGAAATTGAATTTCTGTTATCCAGATGTCAAAGATGTAATACCCCAATTACACAAACTATTGCCAGTGAAGCATGCCAGCGAATATGCAATGTAAATGGGGTGAGCACCGAGCTACAAAACTGCGCAGTCAGCATCTGGCTCCGTGACTGAGTGATAATTAGCACTGTGTGTAGACACTAATAAACATTTATGTCTGAAATTACAACTTTTAGCAATGTTAATAAGGGATATATTGGCAATCTGTAAAATAAAAGGTCTTGAAAAGAATGTCATACATTAAGCAATGGCAGACATTTCCCGTTCTTGCACAATCTCTCCCTCCTACCCTGCCCCTGAAATTGCAAATGGCCACGCCATGCTGTTTTGCTAAAAAATTAATTGACATAGGAACCTACCTAAAAAAATGGGTTGTGTCTCTTTGGTCTCCCCATTAACATCGTTGTTGAATTCTGAGATCTTATACACCTCATGGTGATAATCTGGCACGAGAAAATAACTGAAAATTAGAATTTTAATGACTTCAAGAAGTAGGAATAAGCAATTAAAGACTCCCGTTCTCTATATGTATAATTTATAGGTACATTTTCAAGAACTCTCGCAGAAATTATAGTCAACAGTAACCACTCAAACTTGGCTCACTGCAAAGCACACAAACTTGAAATATTACCTTGACTTTACAAAACAGCTACACTTGGTTACAGTTTTCACAGGAAATTTTGCCCTCAGATACCAATGATCAGGTTTCGTTTCTTTGAGACAGCAAATATATTTGTACGAAAAAGAAAAGTCTTGCCAAATTGTAGGCCTGGGGAGTTTTCCAAATTCATTTCCACAACCCATTTTTGTGAACATATCAATGGTAGCATGCTTCAGAACTTCCTCTTTACTCAGTTTACTACGAAAATCTCGGCTTAAAAGCACATTAAAAAAAAAAAAAAGATACTGATGCTTTATTTCAAAAAAGGTACACTTTGAAAAGAAGCAAGATTTTTTACTTTTCACATAAGTGAGTCTTTTGCATTCAACTACTGCACTTTATTGAACATGCCATAGTTTATCTTGCAAAAAAAAAATTGAACACTGCACAACAGAATCAGGCTCATCATAAAAAAAGAAAAAAAGCAAAGGAAGAACTTGCTATGTCAATCAAATTTTCCAATACAACATCTTAGAATCTCCTGTGGAAGCTACAGCACTTTGGTAATGTAGTTCTTTACAAAGCGGGATCACTCGGGTATGAAAACGGAGGTCTCTTTTCCTCAACTATCCAAGCTTTGGGTGGGTTTGTTTGTTTGCCTTAGATGTCACAGGACAACACAACAAAACTACCCTCTCTTTTAAGATAGAGTAAGTCCTCTGAGGTCATAAATAAGAAAGCAGCCTGATTCCTGAATGGAGCACATTGTATCAACTGGGCTATCACACATGGACAGATTTACTAAGTACAAAAACCGAGTAATCAACATCCTTGTTGGTGGGGTGGGGTGTACCAAGAAAGAGTAGCCAAATATTTTGAATACATACACTATTTCAGGCCTCTATCATTAAACAGTACAAAACTAAATTAGGGGAAACACAGATGAGCAGATCCTCAAAATGTCTATAATTAAACCATTTCCAGACTAACCAAAAGTGGGCTTTCTAGAATCCTCATTTCAGCTTAGCTGAGTTTGAAAAACTTGATGGCTTGAAATCACCCTCCAATGTCCATCTGTTTACACGTGACTTCTGCAGGTCCTTGGAACAATCACGTGGCTCTCTACTCTGATGCCAACGCTAGATAAAAATCACTCAGGGAAAGTAGACAGGTTCTGTGATTTGGCTTTGACCTCAAGTTGATTCAAAGATATTTAAAGAGGGAAACAAGTATTAGGACTTGTGCCATTACTACAGGAAGGGGGGGTCACCCCTCTCATTTATTAAGGTGACACACGACATTTTGACAGGTGTATTCCTTATCTTGAGTTGTCATCATTTTTTAAAAGACTCCAATCAGGAAGATAGCTTTGAACAAGTAACAGAACCCAGAGGAGACACTATTCAACTTTCTCCTCCCCGGACAAAATAAAGGCATAAAGAGTGTGCTGTACACCTGTTAGTCAGCAGGACCTAGTTGGTTTTTTTCTTTCTTTCTTGTAATGACACTTGTCTGACTGGTATGCAAGCTAGTCTTAAGACACCTTTCCACCCAAATCACTCAACTAGAAAAGATGCTGCATGTCAACAATTTCTGTTTTGAGCTTGGATCCCTAATGAGCTGATTCTTCTTAAAAAGAACAATGATCATCTTCCCCCCACCCCCTTCTCTTTGCGCGGTGGGGAGAAAAAAAAACGAAAACAAAAACAAATCCCAGTATATTGCTCGGCCTGCCGGCCAGGCAAACCCTCAGCCACCCCAGCCCAGCGGCGGCCGCGGCGGCGGCGGCACCCCCGAGCGGGCTCGGCTCCCCGGTGTCATTGTTTGCTAATTTCCTGACGTGCCCTCCGACTTGTTTACCTTCAATAGCACCCCGTGGGTCCCCTCAGGCACAACTTTGCCCGCGGCGGGGCGTGTGCGGCCCGCGGGGCCCCGGCTTCGGGCGGGGACGAGGGGGTCGTGGCGGGCGCGCCCCCGGCGTGGAGCCCGCGGGCGGCCGGGGCGCGCGGGGCCGAGTGCGCGGAGCGCGGCGCCGGCTTCCCGCCGCTGTCCCCGGGCCGGCCGCTTACCTCGGCTCACCAGTTTGAAGCTCTGGGATTTCCTGCTTCTTTTCCTCTCGGAGAACTCCATGGTGCGGGCAAGGTGGCGGCGCGGCAGGAGACCGAGGCGGCGGCTGAGGCGGGCTCGTGTCACCGCCGCGGAGCCGCCGGGACCAAGGTCCGCGTCTCGATCGGCGGGGAGGGGGAGGCCGAGCGAGGGACGGGAGGAACCACCGCGAGCCCCGGCCGGGGGCTGCGGGCGCGGGCTCCCGGGCGAAGTTGTCCCCTCGCGCGGCGCCGCCTTCCCGGTGTCTTAGGCGCCCCCTCGGTGCCCCCTCATGCCGCCTCGCTCTTTCCCGAACGCCGCCCGCCGCAGCCCAACTTTCCGCGGGGAGCGGGGCCGGGCGGGGGCGCGGAGCTGCGGGGTGCTCGCCGCGGCCCGCCTGGGCTCAGCCTGCGGACGCGGCCCGGGGGACGCGGCGAGCCGAGGGAGGGCGGCGGCGGCGGCGGCGGCGGCGGGTGCGGAGCGGCGGCCGGGGCGCTGACCGCCCCCGCGGGAGGAGGGGCCGCGCCGGCGGAGGGGGCGGCGCCGCCGGGACCCCGGGGCCACCTGCTGGCGGAGCCGGGCCGCCGCCATCCCCCGGGGGCCGCCGCCGCCGCTGGCCTCGGCCGCACCGCGCCCCAACGAGGCACGGAGGCCGCGGCTCAGCGTCCGTGGCGGCCCGGGCCCACGGAGCTGCCCCCGGGCGGACGCGGCGCTCTGCGGGGCCTCCCTCCGCCGCTCCGGGAGGCGAGCTTGCCTTTAGAAATAAGCCAGGGATCGCGGCTCCTCGGTGGCCAGCCTTCGCTCTGTCTTGAGAGCCGGGCGGTGCCAGGGCCAGACACCGATTTTAGGCAACTTTTAGTAGGGGGTGAAGAACTTACCCATCCGTGTTCTGCAAGCAAACGGGAAGAGATCTGAGAATGTGCTGCTGAGAAGACTATGGGAAAAGAGTGAAGTTCGATTCTTTACCCCCATCCTGGGGGCTGTAGGGGGAAGTTGCATGCTAGGGGTCTGCTTGGAATGGGGCTTGGGGGAGGGGAGTACAAGGGGCGAGGAACACAAGGGGTACAGGCTCTTAGGGAAACAGTGGTCATAGCAGGTGCAGGGGACTCTGCCACTGGACGCAGAAATGCCAAAATAATTGACATCCACAGATGGCCGTTGGTAGTTTTATGTAATATTCTTCCTTGAGGAGCTAAGAGTGCACTCACCGTAGGCGCCATTTCTTACAACGTGTTTTAAGCGGGAATGGAAAAGATTTTTATACCATCTGGGAATGGTCGTACGGGAACATGATCTGACACGCTGAAAAGTACTGCCTCCAAACCTACGGTTTCTAGACCAAAGTACAAAGGGAATAAAGGGAAGGGCTGCTGCTCCAGCATCGGTAAGGTCAGGTTGCTCTAAAGAGTAGAGAGGAAAAGTGGTGGTGGTGGTGGGGGGTGTCTTAATGAATGAGGTGAGCGGCTCTCAAATGAGACAGCCATTCAAAAGCCACTCTGATGTAACAGTGACATTAAGAGCAGGACTACCAAGGGAGGGGAATGTTGGAAGCAACCAGTGCACACATACCTGGGAATAAAACCAAGGAACAAGGATCAGCAAACCAACTGGAGACAAGATAGACATAGGATGGCAAAGTTGGTTACACCTGCTGTCCTGGGGTCGCGACCTAGAGCTTTCGTTCAGCTCAATAAAACAAATCTAAGAGATGTTTTTTTTTCCCCCTTCTTTCCTACTTCTTTTGAAATTATATAGAGGCTGAGTCCTTTTCCCAGAAAAGTGTATGGGAGAAATGAAATTGTGTTTGGTGAAGTTCTTAGTTATCTTTAGAATTCTAAGAGGTGGTAAAGGGATTAATATGATAACGATTTAAGCAATTATACCACTTGGTTCTTCCCCCACCACCTCCCTTTAAAACCAGGATTTTAAAAACCTGAAGATGTCCGGGATGTTTTTAAAGTAAGAAAACATTCTACACCTCATCTGGGACCCAGTATTGTGTGTGTGTGTGTGTGTGTGTGTGTGTGTGTGTGTGTGTGTGTGTTCCCTTGTCAAATTTTATCCCAATAGCCACAAGGCTGACTACTATGCTGATTGAGTAATGCTGAGTATTGTTCATGCCTTGGAGCATAAAATAAGATTTTATTATACTTGAAATATGATGAAATCACTGAAGGTGTCATCCCAGGAAACAAATCCCTAAGGAGGATATTAACAAATTATCAACTTTAAGTACAAGTGGAAATGTGAATTCTACCTGCTGAAGGGAATATTCTTCATTAAGTTAAGGCAATATTTTTAAGGGAATATCTAAAAACAGTGGTAACTATTGTCCCTTTTGACCAAACTCTCTGAAGATGGTTGATGTGTAAAGGATATGAAACAGCCTGTCATATTAAATTTTAGAGAAAATCAACAAATTTTATTTATTTTCTACTTGGTACAAACCACTGTGGCTTTATCTAACAAATTTATAGGGCCATAGTTAGTATTAAGAAATATTAAGCTGAGATTGCCTTGAGTGGGTAGGTATCTATAATAGTCTGCTTTGGTTAACTTAATAAAATACCACAGACTGCCTGACTTAAACAAGAAATTTACTTTATCACTGCGAGGATTCCAAGGAGTCCAAGATCAAGGTCTGATACAGTATGTAGCAAGCTTTCTTGTCAGACTATCTTTGGACCACCAGCCCCAAAATAGTGACTCAGAAACTTCTCATTAATTATGAAAGCTCAGCCTATAGCTTAGACTTGTTCCTAACTAGCTCTTATAACTTAAATTAACCCATTTCTATTAATCTACCTTCTATCACATGACATTACCTCTCTTCCATCTTGCACCTCCTGTTTCCTCTCCACATCTCCTGGCGTCTCCTGCATACATAGATTCCTCCTCCTCTTCCTCTCTCTCCCTGGAAATCCCACCTAGACCTCCTGCCTAGCTATTGGCCATTCAGCTTTTTATCACACCAATCACAGCAATACATCTTCACATAGTGTATAAATATCCCACAACAACAGTGTGTTTCTGGGGAGGGCTCTTTTCCTTCCTTGTAAATTGCTGCCTCTTTTGCTGTGTGTTCTCAACTGGTAGACAGGTCTCCCTTTTATTTAAAAACAAGTTTTAGTTTTATTTTATTATTTTATGTTTATAAGTTTTTTGCCTGGATGTATATATGGGCACCATGTGTGTGCCTGGTGCCCACAGAGGTCAGAAGAGGGCCTTAGATCCGCCAAAACCAGAGTCATGGGCAGCTGTGAGCTTCCGTGTGGGTGCTGGGAATCAAACTTGGGTCCTCTGCAAGAGCAACCAGTGCTCTTACTTGCTGAGCCAGTTCTCCAGCCCTCTTTTTGAGGAAAAAGAATCTAATAGAGGCCACAGAATCTATTGCACTAGAGCCCTGCACTTTTGACTTCTTTTAACCTTAATTATCATCAATTAGAGGCCCCATCTCCATACCCAGTCCTATTAGGGGTTGGAGCTTCAGCATACGGATTTTGAGGATCAGAAGTGTTTATTGTGTTTGAATATAGTGTCTGAGTTGAGGTGTCCTGGCAAACCCTTTAGATCTTGTAAGGCCATTGCTGTGCTCAGTACTTACAAGTTCCCAGAAACTTCAGAACTACAGGTTTACATGTTCCTGGAGCTGGGGAAGACTGCAAATATTCCATGACATCATGCAGACCAAACATCTTATTATATGACCATTCCAAAAGCCAGTTGCTTATAAAGATTAAGCATAGGTTTTAATCTTTGACAAAGACAGGTAATTTGGTCAGATAACATTAAATAACATTAATTCTTAAAATTCTCTGAAAACTCTGTCCCAAGAAAAATAAATAGCATTATGAATTTTTCAATTTTATTTAGAGCTCTCTTGTCTAAAAAGATATGTAACACAAGCCATATGTATAATTTGGATTTTTGTATTAACTACATGAAAAGATAATCAAATTAAATTCATTTCATTAATACATTTTACTTAACTGAGACCATTAAACTATTATCATTTTGACATGTAATCAGTAGAATGTTCTTGAAATGTTCTATAACCTTTTTGTACAAATCTTTCAAACTGGTATGTGAGGTGTATTTAATACTTGGAGATCAAATCAATTCAAATTATATAAACTTCCAATGCTTGATAGCCTCAGGTCATCAGTGGCTGCCTTACTGGACAACTTAAAAATGGGAGGAACTGCAAAATTTGAACTGGCTGTGTATACAGATGTGACTACAACATGGTTAACCCTTCAACTGTTACCTTGACCCTCACACAGAAAGAAATGAGTGAAACATCATCGTCAAACTTGAGCTATTCATATCCTTGGATTTTCTGGAACTGAAAAGATAGTTCCTAAATAGGTTCTGGGAATCCTTAGTATCAATCTTGGCTTTTCAGTTTTATGACAGTCATTCATCCTACGAATTATAGACAGAATAGATAACTCTACAGTGCCCCATGTTTCTTCTTTATTCTTGGCCTCATACAAGTTCACGTTCTAGTTTACTTTTAGTGATGGTAATTTAAAATAATGGAGAAAGTATTAATAAGAGATTATATCAGTGAAATGGGATTTGGGGACTTTTGTTTCAAAGTGTTACCTTATGTTTATGTTTCTTTAGGAACTCACTGTATTTATATTGGATCTAATGCTCTGAATCATTCTCCATGTTTGGTTATATTAATGCACCAGTTTTGCAACCAAAGAAAACCTGTTTTCCTAAGATCATTGGTCTTGGTGATATTAGGATGACAGTCCAGTTTCCAAAATCTTAGCAAGTGAAGGTTAGCCTATCATTGTCCCATGTCTTTAAAGTTTTCTGTTCTTTTTTCCTTAACACAAAGCTTATGTGGACATTTCAGTTTATTTTACTAATATAAATATTCATGTACTCACCACCCTAATGAAGACATGGAACTTCCTAGACATGCAAACAAGCTCCCCTGAGACCCTCCTCAGTACTTCCATCCCCGCCCTGGGAGACCACAGTTCTAACTTTTGTCCCCGTAGCTTGGATGTGCCTATTGATGGACTTCATGTTTGTGAAATCATGGATTACATACTCTATTGATCTTACTGCTTCTGCTTAACATGTCCCAGAGATTTACTCCTCTTGTTGGCTGTGATTGGTAGTTCATTCCTTGCTTTGCTGTTGTACATTGTTTTATTAGAGGACGACAACACTTTTAAAAACCCATTCTACTCTGTTGATGGATATTATTCATTTTTGCCATGGCTTTTGGTGCATATAAACATACGTTAGCTTATGTATATATGAATAGAGTTGCTAAACTGTAGTATATGCATATTTTGAGATTTAGTAAATTGCAGTTTTTCTAAGTAGTCTTTTCAGTTTGCTTATTTGTTTCAGATATTTCCACTATCAGTGTGAGAGAGTTCTAGTTATTCTGTATCTTTGCC